GCCACTTTAAGACTTGTGGACTTCAACTCCCAGAATTCCTCAGCCAGCGTCTCCAACCTTGGCCACTGTAAGACTTGTGAACTTCAATTCCCAGCTTTGCTGGCTGAGGAATTCTGGGACTTGAAGTCCACAAGTTTTACAGTGACCAAGCTTCAAGACCCCTGGTGTAGAATATTCCAGATGGTGGACTTTGCTTGAAGCTGCCACAGCCAGTGTAGAACTTACAAGTAGCCCTCAATTTAAAATGATCCATTTAATGACCGTTCAAGCGCTGTTTCTCGCACTTCCGACCGTTGGGAGTATCCCTGCGATGACGTGATCGCAAAATTCAGGCGCTTGGCAACGGATTCGTATTTAGGATGGTTGCAGCATCATAATCGAGGTCGTGCGACCCTTCCGACAAACAAAATCAACGGGGAAGCCTGATTCACTTAACAACCGGGGGTTACTAACTTAACAACCTAACAACTGCAGTGATTCACTGAACAGCTGCGGCAGAAAAGCTGTGGTGAAATGGGACAAAATTCACTTAACAACTGTCTCACTTAGCAACAAAAATTTTGGCCTCCCTTGTGGTCATAATTCCAGGACTACCGGTGTATGCTAGGAATAGTTTACCTCAGGAAACAACTGGAAACAGAGCAAAGGCGACAGGGGTTCAGTGAGCACGTTTTCCAGTTTCACCTTCTGGCGAACCAGCCCGTTTGTGCTGACCACAACAATGTAGTCTTGTATACCTTAAAGCAAAGAGACAACGCAGAGTTTAGGACTGGGAACAACGCCCCCAAAAGAGATTGCGGCACGAGAGAAAGGCGAGAGGGCTCTAAACGGTAAATATAGTATTAATGTTGTGGTCTGCCAGCAGCCTCCGGAACTGGCAGCAGAGTCGGACAGTGAGGAGGCTGGGGAGGAACAGGGGCCAGTCCTGGAGTCTGGGAAGGCTCGGACGAGGGCTCTGCTTCAGAGGCAGAGAGGGGGCCAGGGCCATCTGGTTTCAGAGGCTTTTTTTTTCAGCCTCTCAAATGGAGGTTTCAGAGGCTTTTTTTTTTCAGCCTCTCAAATGGAGGTTTCAGAAGGCTTTTTTTTTCAGCCTCTCAAATGGAGGTTTCAGAGGCTTTTTTCAGCCTCTGAAACCTCCGTTTCAGAGGCTGGGCAGGGTTACATTCGGACTATAAGACGCACCCAGATTTTCACCCTCTTTTTGGGGGTAAAAAGGTGTGTCTTATACTCAGATAGATACAGTATTTTAGAAGGTAATTGGGTGCGCGACGCAGGAAACTCACAGCACCAAAGCCGATTCTTGTAGAACTGGATCGAAGTCACCATTTCGAGGGGCAGCTGGAACCGACGGTTCACTTTCAGGGAGCTGATGTTCCAGGCAATCACGGTGCCGTCCACGCTGCAGGAATACACCTCACTGCTCGAAGGGATGAAGAAATACCCTTCTTACAAACCCACACAAAAATCAGCACAGGTAGTTCTCGCGTTATGACCCTGAAGGGGTTACCCATAAGACCCACTTGATTTTAGGGCTGTTTTTGTGGTGGTCGTGGTTTGCTATGGGGAGGTTTGGCCCAAACCCCCAGAAGTAAATGGTGCTTTTGGGAAGTGGGGGGGATGGCATAAAACAGGGTCATGTGACCACAGGATACTGGAAACAGCTGTAAATGTGAGCTGGCTGTCGAGAGCCCAAAGTGCAGGAACATGACCATGTGGGGAGGATCCGTCAGAACCTTGGAACCAGGTCCTCCACCTACCTGGGTAGACTCTCTCTGGTATCCACAACGATGTCCACAATTTCACAGCGGTGGTCATTCAGTTGCTTATTGCAAGACATGCTGTGGATGTTGATCAAGTAGATGACGGAATCTGCAGAGCCGATCCAAACTTGACTTTGTTCTGCCATGATCATACATTTCTGAAGAAAGAAAGAAAGAAAGAAAGAAAGAAAGAAAGAAAGAAAGAAAGAGAGAGAGAGAGAGAGAGAGAGAGAGAGAGAGAGAGAGAGAAAGAAAGAAAGAAAGAAAGAAAGAAAGAAAGAAAGAAAGAAAGAGAAGAAGAAAGAAAGAAGAAAGAAAAGAAAGAAAAGAAAGAAGAAAAGAAGAAGAAAGGAAAAGGAGAAAGAAAGAAAGAAAGGAAGAAAGGACAAGAAAGAAAGAAAAGAAAGAAAGAAAGAAAAGAAGAAAGAAAGAAGAAAGAAAGAGAAGAGAGAGAAAGAAGAAGAAAGAAAGAAAGAAAGAAAGAAAGAAAGAAAGAAAGAAAGAAAGAAAGAAAGAAAGAAAGAAAGAAAGAACGAAAGAAAGAAAGAAAGAAAGAGGAAGAGAGAGAAAGAAAGAGAGAGAGGGGAGGCAGGGAGGAAGGAGAGAGAGAGAAAGAAAGAAAGAAAGAAAGAAAAAAGAAGAGAGAGAGAAAGAAAGAAAGAAAGAAAGAGGGAGGGAGGAGAGAGAGAGAGAGAAAGAAAGAAAGAAAGAAAGAAAGAAAGAAAGAAAGAAAGAAAGAAAGAAAGAAAGAAAGAAAGAAAGAAAGAGAGGGGAGGCAGGGAGGAAGGAGAGAGAGAGAGAAAGAAAGAGAAAGAAAGAAAAAAGAGAGAGAAAGAAAGAAAGAACAAAAGAAAGAAAAGAAAGAGCCATGTAATAATGCAAAGCTTCTCAAGAACTTAATAAATCTAAATCTAAATAAATAAACTATATATCACTTTTTCCACCTTTTATTTATTAAAAATCCACTAATACATGGGGCATATTAATTATTTCAGTATATTAGTTTATTAATTAAATGGTTTAATTATATGGCTGACCAACTCACACATAGTCCCGAGAGGCAGGCAGGATACAACATTAATGATTACATAGTTGCTAAAATATATTAAACTAGATCAAAGCTTGGTACTATAGGAGGAGGGTTACAAAATAGGAGTCAGCAACTGATTGGGCTCAGTATCCCTAAACTGCAAGTACTAAATATACAAAAATATACAAAAATATACAAAAGTATGAAGGCTATTGCTTAACTCATTGTAAGCCGCCCTGAGTCTCCGGAGAAGGACGGCATATAAATAAAAAATAAATTTAAAAAATAAACATGATTTTCTTCAGAAGGAGAGGCTGGAGAAAGATACGTGGTCCTTCCTCTCCTGGGTCATTAAACAAGGAAGACCACTGTATAGAAAAGCACATTCCCCAGCAAATTCCCTGCCTATCCCTGAGTTTTGCTACAATCGGCAAACTGTTATCAGCTTAAGAAGTTCTAATATTATTACATTTCCCGACCTCAGCAACTTTTAAGACATGTGGATTTCAACTCTCAGAATTAGCCAGCCAGCTGGCTGGGAAATTTTGACAACGGAAGTCCACATATCTTTGTTGCTGAGGTTGAGAGACACTGAACTACCAATAAAAATAAAGAAGCTACTGCGAAGGACACAGAACCTGATCTGCTAAAACAAATGAAAAGAAAGCCATCAAACCAGAGGGAGATACTTGAGAGGTTTGAAAGCTGCCTTAAGTCCCCGAAGGTGTTTTCCCAAAAGTTCCAACTGGATTTTCTGTGTTTTTCCTCGAAGACGTTTCGCTTCTCATCCAAGAAGCTTCTTCCGTTCATCAAGTTCAGTCCATCAGAACTGAGGAAGCTTCTTGGATGAGAAGCGAAAGGTCTTCGAGGAAAAACGCAGAAAATCCAGTTGGAACTTTTGGGGAAACAACTTTGGGACAAACATGACCTGGATGGCTGAGAATCTCCGCAGACTTGGGAAGATGTCTAAGTATGATCTGAAAACTTCTGGGATAAGTCCATCGTCAAAGTCACCTACCAGTTTAGAGTTTCCCACTTTAAAAGAATGCTGTAGAGACCACGTTGATGCATCAAAGACCACAACTTTCCCTCCGTTCAAAGCACACCACAATTTTGGATGGGCTTCTCCAGGTTTTTCTGTGGGTTCCAGCTGCCCTAAAGATTGGAGAATTTTATGTTATATGCTTGGAATTTATGGGGGAGTCTGAATCTGAGACAGAAGACGAACAGCTGACAGAGCGGGAGAGTGGCTCTGTTGGCTATGGAGGAAACTGGGGAAGGGCAAAGTCAGGCTGGGCAGAGCAGGGGAGAGGTGGAACAAGGGAGAGGGGGTTCAGATGAAGACCAAGGCCCACTCCCTCCTCATCCTAGGGTGCACAGAGAAGAACGCAGAAGAGAGCAACGTGGGTTGCGTGGTTTACGAGGAAGGAAAGGGCTCTGATTCCCTTCCCAAGGCACACCTGGGGATGGAATTTAAAGGAGAGGCAGTTGGGAGGGGCATTTGTCAGGAACAAATGCTGAATTCATCTAGTATTGAGAGTGGGGCCTGCATTCCTGGCCTTCCTCCTGTCTGTTTGAATTAGTGCCGTGCTACTGTGTGCCTATCTTGTCTTGCTGGAATTATTCTTCACTTCTGGGACACATTATCTTGCCCTGCCGGAGTGACTGATTTGCAGTCATTCTGCTTACAGTGTTTGGACTGGAATATCTGCGGACAGAAGCTGCTACAGGTTTGTGGGAGAGCTTTTCTCCAGGCCAGAGAGTAAACGGGACATTGGGGGCAAAGTTGGTGCCAATAAAGGGACTCATACTGGTTCTCTGGCTGTGTTGCCTTCGTGCCACGCCTCGGGTCATCACATAAAGTGAGGTCACCTTCAATTCCATACCTGGTGTATACAGCAAGACTTCCACTGCTTGTGGGAACGTTTCACCAGCTGATGGGTTGATCTTGTGCTTTAGTGTTTCAGACGTGGTTTTGGGGACCATCATGGGCACTGGACAAAAAGGACAAATGCACGTTTAAAGATGGTTATAGGGCCAAAAGGAAAAACTTACTGAAAGAACTGAGAGAAGATAGATCAGGTTGGAAAGGCAAGCTCTCCACAGAGAAAGCCACGTATATAGCAATTCTTGGTATCCTTCATAACTAGGAGGTAATTACGGCCACTTGCAACTCTGCTACCATCCAACACAAAAGTGTAAAGAAGGCCACACAATTCACACTACCAAAAGAGTATTATCTAGTGAGTGGTGCGGTGTGGCCTAGAGGTGGAGCTCTCGCCTCACAATCAGGAGGCTGTGAGTTCAATCCTAGGTAGAGGCAGATATTTCTCTCTCCGGGCATGTTGAGATTACTGTATATCTGCTGAATATAACTCCGCATTGGCGTCAGGAAGGGCATCCGGCCAGTAAACACTCAACTCCATTCAGTTGCCCATAATCCCTTCCCGCAAGGGATTATGGGGTCATTAAAAGGCGATGATGAAACGAGTATTATCTACTGTAAATGACCCATCAATTCACCTTCGTTCTTCATCCTGTCAAAGTAAGATAGCTTCGAAGCTGCATAGATTATTTTGGAGGACTGCAGAGAACCCACTACCGCATCCATCAGAAGAACGTTGGTGAGGGCTTGTTGAAGATACTGTGGATCCTGGAAGGGAAGGGATGGGATTTTGAGATGAACAACCGGATGACACAAAACCCTGATTGCAACCTGCACATACTATGCACATGAGAATCCTGGATGAAGTTCTGGGCCTCTTAATATAGAATATTCTGCACATCAGAAATCCAAATACGAATGCGGAATTGCAGATTTTACTCCTTAAAACTAGAATTCTCCATTCTTGGGCAGGAGGACCCCATGTTTGGGGTTCTGGAAGAGACAAATTCAATTAAAACCCAGGGGGTTTGGACTACAAGACCTCCCTTCCAATCTGAAATTCTTTGGATCCTTAAAGATGAATCAATATAATTGGTTAATAAAGCAGGAGGAGATATTTGAAATAAATAAATCCAGGGAGATGTAATGCTTGGCATCTTTAAATAACATTCTTTGAAAATAGTTTGGAAATTCGAAGAAACTACCGTATTTTTTGGAGTATAATACGCTTCGGACTATAAGACGCACCTACCTTTTTGGGGAAGGAAACCAAGAAAAAGAAATCTGCCTCTGCCTCCCAGCAATTTGCCTCCTTGCAGCAAACAGCAGAGGCCCACACGGCAATAGGCAATGGCAATCCCTGCAGCCTGAAACAGCTGAGGGTCGGGAGACCGATCCAACCGACAATCAGCTGCTTGTGCTAATCAGGCTGTGCTGAAGATGAAACGGGCTGTTTGCTGCAAGGAGGTAAATTGCTGGGAGGCAAAGGCCAAAGGGGCCGGCGGGTGGGAAGGGTTACATTCAGTGTATTAAGACGCACCCAAATTTTCACCCTCTTTTAGGGGGGAAAAAAGTGTGTCTTATACTCCGAATAATACGGTATATATACTCTGCTCTTCCTATCATTGTGAAGCAGAATTCACCAAGCGTTGGATTGTTCACCCACTAATAGGGAACATGAGTGAAGGGGGGGGGGGGATGCGGTGGCTCAGTGGCTAAGATGCTGAGCTTGTCGATCGAAAGGTCGGCAGTTCAGCGGTTCGAATCCCTACTGCCGCATAACAGAGTGAGCTCCGGTTACTTGTCCCAGCTTCTGCCAACCTAGCAGTTCGAAAGCACGGGCATCAGTCGGAACCCTGACACATTTTTTGCTATATCTCTGGAGCATTATTCATTTACAAAGCAACTTTTGTAATGTTATATAGTTCTGATGTTACTTGTGGTGGGTCAGAATAAAAACAAACCAAGGAACACGAATGCTGCATGTAAGAAAAATTCGGAAGAATTGAAGAGATAAAAGCTTCCAACAAACTGTCTGAACCACAGCAGTGAAGACGTTAAGCTTCATTAATATGGAAGCTCCGAGGACAGTTGCCTTCCTTGCTCAATTATTAATCTTGCCATCTAGAAAAGTCACATTAAATATGAATCTGAGAAGATGAAAGATTGCAAAAAGTTTGGACATGTTGTTAATTCATGCAACATTCCGAACCTTGTGATCATCTGCCATTTTCTTGCCAGCGCACATCTCTTTCACCATCAAGTGCCAAAGATCGCACTCGGACTTCAGATTTGCTTCAAAAACGTCCTTTTTGTACTTGACTTTTATCTTCAGGGTGGGAATCCTGAGGAGAAGAAAAGTGACGGTGGTATTCCTCACTTCCTGCAGGGGAAAACGTAGAAAAGGAAGAGCTGAGAACCACAATAAGGCCACACACACACACACAATTCTGTTTTCATTCAGGGTCGCGAGTGTGAAAAACGGTCATAAATCCCTTTTTCAGGTGCCGTTATAACGCTGAGCGGTCACGAAATGAACGGTCGTAAGTCGAACATTACCTGTGCTTTTGTTGGGCTAAGTTTGAAATGCTACCAGTTCGCTCTGGTTCGGGAGAATCGGTAGTGATAAAAACTACCGGTTTGGGCAAACTGATACTTAAAAAAAAAAGCTACCAGTTCGGGAGGACCAGGGTAGTTTAAAAATGCTACCAGTTCGGGCAAACTGGTATTTAGCTATCGGTTCGGGTGAACCAGTAGTTTAAAAAAAAGGTAACGGTTCGTCCGAACCGGTATTTCCGATGATCAGCTGTGCCGTGCAATTTAGCTTCGCTAGAAAGCAGGAAATCGCGCAGCACAGCTGTTCCCCCCTTGCTATTCTACTTACCTAAGGAAGTCTTCTTTTTCCGCACAAAGCGCACATTTGGCGCGCACCACACATGCACGGGCAGCAAACCAGTGGCGATCCGAGGAGGATTTCACCACTGGGGCTCACCTCTATATCTCTGAAAGTTGCGATGTCTTGATAGCCGGGACAAGCACCTTCCGTCAACAAAAACAGGCGTTTTGGGGTCAGTGCAATTTTGCCAACTCCTTTGTTCGTTTTGACCGAGCTGGATAACTTGTAAACACACTCGTTTTTGTCCAGGTGTTCTATGACTCTCGGCGGCAGGTTGACGTCCTGAGCTTCTCCTTCCGTTTCCTTCCAGTAGGTATAAAAGTCTTTAAATGTTTCCGGGTCAATTTGTTTTTGCTGCCCTTAAAAAAATGAAGAAAATGTTTACCGTAGTGAACGTTTTTAGATCTCCTGTACATTAAATGTTACAAAAAGAGGGGAAATGTGTTGGCTGCCCAGTATAATTTTAAAGGGAGACTGTATACAAGTAGTCCTCAACTTACAACCCCAACTGAACCCAAAATTAATGTTGCTGAGTGAGATGGTTGTTAAGTGAGTTTTGTCCCATTTTATGACCTTTCTCCCCAGAGTTAAGTGAATCATTGCTCTTGTCAAGTTCGTAACTTGGCTGTTAAGTGAATCTGGCTTCCCCATGGACTTTGCTTGTCAGAATGTCGCAAAAGGAGATTATGTGACCTTGCGACCGTCATAATTATGAATCGGTTGCCAAGCATCCGAATTTTGATCACGTCACCGTGGTGATGCACCGTTGTGTGAAAAATGGTCGTGCCGCTTTTTTTCCCAGTGCCTTTCTAACTTCTAACGGTCAATAAATGAACTGTTGTAAGTCAAGGACTGCCTGTAGAGGCAGTCCTTGATTTATGCCCGTTTGCTTGGTGAACATTCCCAGTTATGGCCTATCTGAGAAAGGGGAGCTATGACTCAACTCTGATGGTTGCTTCCTACACTTACTGTAAGTCAAGGACCACCTTTTAAACAGTTGTCCTGAGCTGCTCTGGGATTATTTCCTCCTCCCTCAATTCCATTCATTTGAAAGGTTTTCCTTGTTCCGGGTGCCAAACTGTCTTCAGAGTGATGTGCTATAAAGCGAAACGGACCAAGGGGCAGATGGAACGTGACCAATGCTGCAGAAACTGTGCGTGGATGAGTGAAGGCCAAGGACAGGGAAGGAAAATCAAGGGGCAAAAGTACGAGGACTCTACTTCCTCCTCCACCCAGATTTCTGGAGCTGAAAATTTATTATTGCTATTAAGTCAAGCACAATATTCTGGCTGACAATGCCCGGTGGGTAGAAAGTTAATTGCGTTAGATGGGCTGCTATAGAAAATGAATGGAAGATTGGATGGATGGATGAATTGCAGTATTCCAGTATTTGAGGGGCTGCCACAAACTAGAAGGGGTCAACTTATTTTCCAAAGTACCAGAAGGCAAGACAAGAAACAATGGATGGAAACTAATGAAGGAGAGGAGTAACCCGGAATTGAGGAGAAACTTCATAACAGTGAGGAAAATTAACCAGTGGAACAATTTGCCACCAGAAGTTGAGGGTGCTTCATTGTTTTTAAGAAGACAATGGACAGCCACTTGTCTGAAATGGTATAGGGCTGTGATAGTGAACCTGTGGCACGTGCCACAGGTGGCACGCAGAGCCATATCTTCGGGCACACGAGCTATTGCCCTAACTCAGCTCCAGTGCGCATGTGCGCACCAGCCAACTAATTTTCGGCTGGCCCCGCCCATGCCACTCCTTATGCACGGTCACTCACGCCCTCGTCACCTCTCGCCTGGACTACTGCAATGCTCTCTACATGGGGCTCCCCTTGAGGAGCACCCGGAGGCTCCAGCTGGTCCAGAATGCAGCCGCGCGGGTAATTATGGGGGCGACATGGCGCTCCCATGTAACACCTCTCCTGCGTGAGCTGCACTGGTTCCCGGTGGTCTTCCGGGTGCGCTTCAAGGTATTGGGTCTCATCTTTAAAGCACTCCATGGCTTAGGGCCCGGGTATTTACGAGACCATCTTCTGCCACCGATAACCTCCCACCGGCCAATCTGCTCCCACAGAGAGGGTCTCCTCAGGGTGCCGTCGGTCAAGCAATGTCGACTGATGACCCCCAGGGGGAGAGCCTTCTCTGTGGGGGCACCCGCCCTCTGGAACGAGCTACCCCCAGGAATACGACTGATCCCGGACCTCCGTACTTTCCGCCGAGCGTTGAAGACCTTCTTATTTCAGCAAGCCGGGCTGGCTTAAAATTTTAATGGGTTATTTTATGGGTAAGGGGTTTTAAAATTTGGGGAAGCCAAACTAATTTAATTCTGTTTTAATTTATTTTAATTTTTATACTGTATGTATTTTAAGTTTGGCTGTTCACCGCCCTGAGTCCTTTGGGAGAAGGGCGGTATACAAATTTAATAAACCTAACCTAAACCTAACCTTCTCCTCCCAGGAGTCTCCATGCAGCCCGTTTTGGATGCCAGGTAAGTACTGGGCTCACACGGAGGCTCTGGGAGGCCGTTCCCGGCCTCTGTAGGGCCTCCAGGGGGTGGGGAGGCTGTTTTCGCCCTCCCCAGGCTCCAAGAAATCCTCTGGAGCCTGGGGAGGGTGAAAAACGGCCCTACCGGAAGTCAGGAAACGGGGTGTTTCCGGCCTCTGGAGGGCATCTGGGGTGGGTGGGGGAGGCTGTTTTCGCCCTCCCCAGGCTCCAGGAAAGCTGCCTGAACCAACAAGAGAGGACACATCTATCCAAGTGTAGGATCCTTACTGAGGTGGGTGTCAAATAAAATTAATAAATAAGTACAGGTAGTTCTCGACTTACAACCACAACTGAGCCCAAAAATTACTGTTGCTAAATGAGCCATTAAGTGAATTTTGCCCCATTTTACGACCTTTCCTACTGCAATGGTCAATAAGTGTGAAAAATGTTCATAATCATTTTTTTAATCACTTCAAATGGTCACTCAGTGAACTGTTGTAAATCAAGGACGACCTGTGCATAAAAATAGGATCTATATTCATGACAGAAAAACATAAAGAGCTGGAAAAATTCTCACGAAATGTCTATGAAGATTCTCAGTCATCCAGGTCATGGTTGTCCCAAAAGTGCTTTTTCAAGAGGCAACTGGACTTTCTGGTTTTTCTTTGAAGACATTTCGCTTCTCATCCAAGGAGCTTCTTCGGCTCTGACTGGATGGTCAAAGGTGACTCTGAGGACACAGATAAACCTCCAAGAGGCCTCAAGGACCCTCTAAAAGGATGCAAATGACCAGCTGCCTGCAAGGAGTATAAATCCTTCCATTCCCCACCATCCAGTCGGAGCTGAAGAAGCTTCTTGGGTGAGAAGCGAAACATCTTCAAAGAAAGTCCAGTTCAGGGGTGAAATGCTCCCCGTTCGGACCGGATCACCTGATCCGGTAGCGATGGCGGCGGGTGGTTCCAAGAACCGGTAGCAAAAATCCCTGCACCCCCTCCCCACCATGCCCAGCTGAGCCGCACGATCATCAGAGGCTTTTTTTTTTAACTTTTAAAAGCATTTTTTTTCTGCAACCTCTTCAGCCGAAGAGGTGGTAAAAAAAATGCTTTGAAAAGCCTCTCTGACGATCCCAGCTGAGTTGCCTGATCATCAGAGAGGCTTTTAAAAGCATTTTTTTGCAATCTCTTCGGCCAAAGAGGTTGTAGAAAAAAATGCTTTGAAAAGTTAAAAAAAAAAAAAAAGTTGGTCACGCCCACCGCCATATTACCCCCCCACCAGCACCAAGCCACGCCCACAGAACCGGTAGTTAACAAATTTTACATTTTACCCCTGGTCCAGTTGCCTCTTGAAAAAAGCACCTTTGGGAATTCTCACAAAAGTTTCTAACCAGGGAGTAAATTTTTCTCTCGTTTTTGCCCTAACTTACCTACGGTTAACGCATCAAACAACCGATAGATGGTGTCAGTATCTTTGACAATCCCAGATTCCTGGATCCGCTTCACGAAGTCGTTCACCTGCATGTGAGTTTTGGGCAACTCAAATTTCTTCACGTGGTCGTCGGTTTTGGCGACTTCTCTCTGTTTGTCCAGTAGATGACTGATCAACCTTTTCAGTTCGGGTTTCTGATCCGCCTGGGAGCGATCCAGCGGTGGGAGTCCTTCGATCATTTTTCTCACGAGGTCCGTCGGGAATATCCTGATGTCCGTCTTGTACAGATTTTGGAAGTCCGAAAGGGCGCTTAGGAATTTCTTTTGCATCAGATTTATAAGTCCCCGAAGGTAAAAATATCTCGCTAGAAGCGCGGAGTTCTCCGGGGACAGAATGGTGATGGCTCTGCTGAGATGGTTACTGAAGTCGACGTAATAGGACTGGACGCACTGACCCAGCAGTGGGAAATGGATTTCTGGAATCTTGAAAGTGCTGATGGGTTTCGAAATTGATCTTTTAGCTAGAAAAAAGGAGGAGAAGGAGGGAGAGACGGTTACAAAAAAAAGGTGACAAGGGTTCCTGTTAATGTTCTGGTGTCATTTTTCGGAGTATAAGACGCACCTATCTTTTTTGGTGAGGAAAAGAAGAAAAAGAAATCTGCCTCTGCACAATTTTGCCTCGTTGCAGCAAACAGCAAACAGCCTGCTTTACTTTCATTTTCGTTTTCAGCATAGCTTGATTAGCACAAGGAAAAGAAAATCTGCTCCAGCAATTTACCTCTTTGCAGCAAGCAGCAGAGCCCTGCGCAAAACAGCTGAGAGCAAATCAGCTGAGAGTCGGGAGACCGAGCCAATCAACTTGTGCTAATTAGGATGTGCTAAAGCTGAAAGGGGCTGTTTTTTCTTGCTGTTGGCTTGCAAGGAGGTAACTGCTGCGAGGCAGAGGCCAAAGGGTGGGGCCAGTGGGTGGGCGGGGCTACATTCGGTGTATAAGACGCACCTAAATTTTCACCCCCTTTTAGGGGGGAAAAGGGTGCATCTTATACTCAGAAAAATACGGTAGTTTGGGTAATGAAACATTGCAAGAAAACAACCAAGTTCAGAGAACACCAAGGACCTCACAGACTTCTTCCTCCTCCTCTCCTCTACCTTTCCTCCTCCTCCTCTTCTTCTCACCACTCGGCAAATCCCCACTTCCTTCTAGCACTGATGATGTTACCTAGTTTGGTAATGAAACATCTACAAGAAAACCACCAAGCTCGGAGAATACCAAGGACCTCGCAGTCTTCCTCCTCTTCCTCCTTCCTCTATTCTACACTACTCTATCCTCCTTCCTCCTCCTCCCCCCTCTATTCTACCTTTCCGCCTCTTCCTCGCCTTCTACCCACTTGTCAAATCCCCACTTCCTTCTAGCACTGACAATGTTACCTACTTGGGTACCGAAACATCTGCAAGGATTTCATCCCTGAGCAACAATTCTTCTTTATCAGTAAATCAAGAGAATTTTGCGATACAGTGGCTTTCAAAAAAAAAAGATCCATTCAAGACATCAAGGAAGAGAGAAAATCTGAAGCCGGTCTTTTCTCCTGCAATGCAACCCTCTACGTATTTTTAACATCCACCTGGAGGCTCACAAGTCAATCACAAATCAAACATTTTGAACTCTTATTCTCTAATCCCGTGATGGCGAACCTGTGGCACGTGGAGCCATATCGGTGGGCACGTGAGCTTAGCTCTGGCGTATATGCGCGCGCCGACCAGCTGGTTTTCGGGCCTTCTGGGGCCACTGGAAGTATGGAAACAGGTTGTTTCCTGCCTGGGGGTGGGTGGGGAAGGCCCATTTTTCGCTCTCCCCAGGCTCCAGAGCCTTTCTAGGAGCCTGGGGAGGGCAAAAACAGCCTCCTCCCCCCCCCGAAGCCCTCTGGAGGCCAGAAACGGCCCATTTGCCGACTTTTGGTCCCACCGGAAGTTGGGAAATGGGCCATTTCCGGCTTCTGGAGGGATGGAGGCGGCCGTTTTCACCCTCCCCAGGCTCCTAGGGAGGCTCTGGAGCCTGGGGAGAGCGAAAAACGGGCCTACCAGGCCCACTATGCCAAAAGCGGGGGGAGCGCGGGGGATTGCGCACGCATGCGCAGGGGGCGGGTCGCATAGAATTATGGGTGTGGGCGCACGCGCGCCCCCCCACGCTCCCCTCGCTTTTGGCACGCGATGACAAAAAGGTTAGTCATTACTGCTCTAATCTATGTTCCTTTTGGAACGGGGCAACCAGAACTCAATTCTTCAAGCACAAAAGTGACAAGAGTAGAGGAAGTCATGAAAAACACCCAAACTTCATTCTAAAGTTAGTCCTCTAATTATGACCTGATGTTTATAACCGTTCAAAGTTATGACAGATCTCCCCAGAATTTATGAGCCGGTTTCAAAGTTCTGATGGGCATCCGCCCAGGGTGACACGATCACATTTTGGGTGCTTGACAAGTAGTCCACATTTTGGCCACCTCTGCAGTCATGTTTCCACAATTTTTGGAATTTCTTAGCTGGAAACTGGTGTCTACTTCTGGTTTTTTGGCAAAAAAACTCCCTCCCCCTGGTTAAAATACCTTCATTAAATGAGCACGTTCTTAACAACCCCCACAAAATAGGTTGTAAAGTCAGGCAAGGTCATATGGTGATCCACTTAATGACCCCAATGACTTATGAACATAATTCTGGGCTCAATTATAGTCGTAAGTCAAGGAATACCTGTAGACGTTATAGAGAACTGCACACCAGAACAAATAGACACAAGGACACTTTTTCCCCGCATGCCATCACTCTGCTAAACAACTAATTCTGACAACACTGTCAAACTATTTACTAAGACTGTATTACTATTATTCTTCTCATCCTTCCTATTACCTATCTTCCTTTATACTTATGACTATAATCTTGTCGCTTGTATCTTTATGATTTATATTTTTTTATTTAGTTTCCTAGTATGATTTTGATTGCTCATTTAGTATCCTATGACTATCACTAACTGTTGTATCTTAGGATTCAAGATGAATGTATTTATGATGACTATGATCATGATTTATCACTTGTATCTCCTATGTTCACTGAGAGCTTATGCACCGATCATACTTGGCCAATAAAGAATTCTAATTCTAATTCTAATTCCCTCTCCCTCTCCCTCTCCCTCCCCCTCTCCTATTCTATTCTATTCTATTCTATTCTCTATATTCTATTCCACTACATTATTTTTATTCTCTTTTCTCTTCTCTATTCCATATTCTATTCTTATATTCTCTTTTCTTCTCTTCTTCTCTTTTCTTCTCTCCTGCCTCTCCTCTCCTCTCCTCTCCTCTCCTCTCTTCTATTCTAATTCTTCTCTACTCTACTCCTCTCCTCTCCTCTCCTCTCCTCTCCTCTCCTCTCCTATCATCCTATCCTATCCTATCCTATCCTATCCTATCCTATCCTAGACACAGGCCAGGTGGAATCTCGTGAACCAGGTCTATGTTCTAAAAAGCTGGAGAAGGGTTAAAGAGAAGAGCATAAGTACTTTTGTTTCCACATGGAAACCCCTTCTGAACTTCGTGCTTGATGTCAAAAAGAATGAAACTCTGATTTACTGATTAGACTTTATAGAAATGACATTTCATATTAGGATGAAAAAGCAAAAAGTTGTGGTTTGATGCTAATGCCTTATTTTACTGTAACAGGAGGAGTCGAAAGTCAATGCTTTTTATTCTTTTTCTTTCTTATCCTTCCTCACTTCTCTTCCCCCTTTCCCCTCCCCCGTCACTGCTCTTCTATTTACTTTTGCATTTTGTATTTTATAATACTCTATAACTCAATTAAAAAAAAAAGTTAAACGAAATAAAAAGTTGAGGCAGACTTTGGCTCTTCTCCGTGATTTTTATGTCGTATTTCAAATTATCTGAGCCTTTTCTTCTCGCTCGCTAACCCACAATGTGAATAACATCAATCCGTGCCGTGGTTTTCTACTGAAATAAGTCAAGGCAGCCATGGCAGCTGGGAGGCATTTCTTCATCTTGCCTTGTGTAGTGTTTACGCTTCGAAGGGATAAATTCCTCGTCGGGCCGCCGCTCTGCTTAATGTCGTTCAGGTCAGGCAGACTCATCCCCATGCGCCTGCTGAGCATGTACTGAGGATTAAATCTTTTAGAAATCATTTTCTCCATCGTTAGCCTTCTCGGGTTACCAACCAGGAAGTTGAATCTAAAGGAAGAAACATACAGTTGGTTCTCGAATTACAACGGTTCGTTTAGTGACCGTTCGAAGTTACAGCAGCACTGGAAAAAAGGGACCTAGGGACGTTTTTCACACTTATGACCCTTTCGCAGCATCCCCCATGGTTGGGTGATGAAAATTCAGACGCTTGTCAACTGACTCATATTTATGACGGTGGCAGTGTCCTGGGGTCACGTGATCCGCTTTTGCGTCCTTCGGACAAGGGAGAGCCAGATTCACTTAACAACCCATATTACTAACTTCACAAATGCAGTGATTCAATTGGGGCAAGAAAAGTCGTAAAATGGGGCAAACTCACTTAACAAATGATTCACTTAAGCAGCATAGATTCTGGGCTCAATTGCAATCGTAAGTCAAGAACTACCTGTATAATGTATACAAACCAGGGGTGGGTTCTAAATTTTTTTACTACTGGTTCTGTGGGCGTGGCTTATTTTGTGGGCGTGGCTTGGTGGTGGGGGGTAATGTGACTGGGTGGGTGTGGCCAACTTTTTTTTTTATTTTTTACTTTTAAAAGCATTTTTTCTACAACCTTAAGAGGTTGCAGAAAAAAATGCTTTTAAAAGCCTCTGATGATCAGGCAACTCAGCTGGGTTCGCCAGAGGCTTTTAAAGGCATTTTTTTTTCCTATAACCTCTTCGGCTGAAGAGGTTGTAGAAAAAAATGCTTTTAAAAGCCTCTGACGATCCCAGCTGAGCCGCACGATCATCAGAGGCTTTTTTTTAAACTTTTAAAAGCATTTTTTTTGGCTAAAGAGGTTGTAGAAAAAATGCTTTTAAAAGTAAAAAAAAAAAAAAGGCCTCTGATGAGGTGCGCAGGGTAAGCGAGCGGTGACCACACCGGGACCGATTTGGGGGCATGGCCAGCCAATGTTATTACCGGTTCTCTGAACTACTACAAATTTTTACTACCGGTTCTTGCGAACTGGTGCGAACCGGGAGCAACCCACCAGTGATACACACACATACACACATACATCAATCATTCTCCAGGACAAAACTACTGTTGTGCATTCCAGGATAGGCTTTACACAGACGAGAACATAACTGACATGATCCAGAAGAGGCTCACCTGTCTTCTTCGTTTTGGGTGCTCTGCTCCAGGTAAGCAAAGGCATCCATCCTTCCGTTAAGGCGGGCTTTGAGGAAAGAGTGGAACATGTACGTTTCCAGTACCTGCAAAAACACAAGAGAAGACATCACCCACAGTACAGGTAGTCCTCGACTTACAACCATTCATTTAGTGACGGTTCGAAGTTACAGAATCATTTAGTGACCGTTCAAAGTTACAGAGGCATTGAAAAAAGTGACTTTTGACCGTTTCTCACACTTACGACCATTGCAGCATCCCCAGTGGTGGACTGCTGCCGGTTGTAACAACCAGTTCGCCCACAACCCCCCCCCCCACCTCCCCAGGGACATGTAATTTCCGTTTGGGACCCTCCGGCAAGCCAAGTCAATGGGGAAGTCAGATTCACATGGTAATGATGTTTCTAATTTAACAACCGCAGTGACTCACATAACAGCTGTGGCAGGTAAGGTCATAAAATGGGGCAAAATTCACGTAACAAGTGTCTTGCTTAACAACCGAAATTTTGGGCCTCAATTGTGGTCATAAATCAAGGACTATCTGTATCACCACTGTGCTAGATTATAGCTGAGAGCAAATGTTGCAGGAGTTTCTCCTTTAGACTATATTATTGCATGCTTAAAGTAGGACTGCTACAGCAACAGTCACTGTTGTATTTTTTACATTCTATGTGGTCATTAAGAGTCAACAACAACTTGATGGCACCTAAGTAACTGAATATATAAAATAGTATATTCTAAAAGTTAATTCTATAGTTATGCCAGACAAATTTATTTGTTTTTATTTATTTGTTTTAATTTGTATACCGCCCTTCTCCAGCAGGACTCAGGGCGGTGAACAGCCAAAATAAAACAGAACATACAAAATTTAAAAACAGTTTAAAAATAATGACTTCAGTAAATAGAACAGGAACAGGAACAGGAACAGGAACAGGAACAGGAACAGGAACAGGAACAGGAACAGGAACAGGAACAGGAACAGGAATTAGAATAGAATAGAATAGAATAGAATAGAATAGAATAGAATAGAATAATAACATGGAATGGAATGGAATGGAGTGGAGTGGAGTGGAGTGGAGTGGAGTGGAATGGAATTTTAAAAGAGTTTTAAATGGCTTTTATTGGCCAAGTGTGATTGGACACACAAGGAATTTGTCTTTGGTGCATACACTCTCAGTGTACATAAAAGAAAAGATACATTCGTCAAGAATCATAAGGTACAACACTTAATCTAACAAATATTTTGGCAGAAACAAGATGTAAAATGTCTGGATATGCATGCTTTCCTCAAAAGATTAGAATAGAATAGAATAAGAGTTGGAAGGGACCTTGGAGGTCTTCTAGTCCAACCCCCTTCCCAGGCAGGAAACCCTACACCACTTCAGATAAATGGTTATCCAACATCTTCTTAAAAGCCTCCAGTGTTGGGGCATTCACAACTTCTGCAGGCAAGTTGTTGCACTTATTAATTGTTCTAACTGTCAGGAAATTTCTCCTGAGTTCTAAATTGCTTCTCTCCTTGATGAGTTTCCACCCATTGCTTCTTGTCCTACCCTCAGGTGCTTTGGAGAATAGTTTGACTCCCTCTTCTTTGTGGCAGCCCCTGAGATATTGGAAGACTCAGATTCAATTATGTAAAACTACAGGTCAAATAAATGTTTGGTGTGTTTTTTTAAAAAATTACAACATGAACAAGTGGAACAATTTATGTTAAGCTCCGGCTTACCTTTCTGTAAAAAGGCTGATCATTTATTGCTCTTGTCTTTAAGAATTCTTCACTGTTAAAGACTCTGTGTTCGTAGTTCAAGTGATCTTTCACCTCCCTGTTGATAAAACAGGTTTACCACAAAAATTTAAAAAAACAAATTTAGTGGGAGTATGGATAGAAACGTTATCAATGGAAGCACTTTTCTTTCTGTATAAAAATTCTTCCTTTCTTTATAACATTTTGCATCCTGAAACTTTGGTGTATTTTAAACCAGGGATTCCCAACCCCGTCCCCCCTTCCCCGCCCCCCCCCCGGGCTATGGGGTGAAGCTCCATCCGTGGGATGCAGGCAGCATGCAAAATCACAAATCTCCGGTCCACGGAAAAACATCTATAAATATTGGAAATGTTCACCAGTTTGCATTAAAAGGCAACAGTAGTGTTTAGAAGAAGAAGAATTTGCAAAAAAGTTGTATCTTCTTATTAAGCCAGGGGTGCAAACTCACGGATCCTCAAATGAATCCATCTAGAATACTCTCTCGAGGCGCAAAAGAGCAACCTCTCTGATCCCTTCACTTAAAGAAGGGTTCCAGTTTCTGAATAGATCAAGGTATGGAGGAGGAAAGGTGGATCAGTGGCTAAGATGCTGAGCTTGTCGATCGAAAGGTCAGCAGTTCGGCGGTTCGAATCCCTAGTGCTGTGTAACGGGGTGAGCTCCCAATACTTGTCCCAGCTTCTGCCAACCTAGCAGTTCGAAAGCACGTAAAAAATGCAAGTAGAAAAATAGGGACCACCTTTGGTGGGAAGGTAACAGTGTTCCGTGCACTTTTGGCGTTGAGTCATGCCAGCCACATGACCACAGAGACGTCTTCGGACAGCACTGGCTCTTTGGCTTTGAAATGGAGATGAGCACCGCCCTCTAGAGTTGGGAACGACTGGCACATACGTGCAAGGGAAACCTTACCTTATGAAGGAGGAGGAAAGAGCTAAAGGCGTCTGAAAAGAAATCTTTGGGATAACCCACCTAAAGATATTGACAATTAACTGCAAGGCAATCTGTTGAATTTCAGAATTCAGCTTGTGTTGCCAAGTTCTCCGTCGCCCTTGGATTTCGATGAAGTCGGTGAAGGTTCCCAGATGGCAGAGTTCAAGGTCATAGTGCAGTTGAAGGTTTTCAGATCTGCGGGGGGAAAAAAGAGCAATGGCTCGTTACAAGGAGCCAATCAATCAGAACAGAGCTGGAAGAGACCTTGGAGCAGGGGTGAAATTCAAAAAAATTCCTTACCGGTTCTGTGGGCATGGCTTGGTGGGCGTGGCAGGGGGAGGATATTGCAAAATCCCCATTCCCTCCCCACTCTGGGGCCAGCCAGAGGTGGTATTTGCCAGTTCTCCGAACTACTCAAAATTTCCGCTATTGGTTCTCCAGAACCTGACAGAACCTGCTGGATTTCATCTCTACCTTGGAGGTCCTTCTAGTCCAACCCCCTGTTCAAGCAACCTATCATTTCAGACAAATGGTGGTCCAATCTCTTCTTGAAAACCTCCAGTGATGGAGCACCCACAACTTCTGGAGGCAAGTTGTTCCACGGGTTAATTGTCATCACTGTTAGGAAGTTTCTCCTTAATTCCAGGTTGCTTCTCTCCTTATTTAGTTTCCATCAGGGTGGGTAAAAATCAATGATTTTTTTAAAAAAATCAAAAAAATCAGATTTTTTTTATTTAAATCGGATTTTTTTTTATTTAAATCGATTTTTTTATTTTTATCGAATTTATTTTAATAAAAAACTTTTGGGGTAAAAATCTATCGTAAGATAGTTTTCTATTTAAGATACATAAATAATTTAGTTTATTCAGCATGAAATGGAGCTTAGTTACGTAGCACAAGGCTGTATATTCTGCAACACTGGGACTCTCGGTGAGTCAACAGCGGGTCAAAGGAGTAGCAGAGATGACAGTTGCTCTTTAAAAATTAGGATTTAAATCAAGTTGATTTAAATCAAGCCTTTTTATTAGTGATTTAAATCATGATTTAAATTGTGATTTAAATCAACTCGATTTAAATCAAATCCACCCTGGTTTCCATCCATTGTTTCTTATCCTGCCCTCAGGTGCTTTGGAGAATAATTTGACCCTTCTCTTTTTTGTGGCAACCCCCTAAATACTGGAATACTGCTATTATATCATCCCTAGTCCTTCTTTTCTTTTGTGACTGTAAGCCCTTGACTTATAACCATAATGGAGCCCAATATTTTTGGCTTCCCCATTGGCTTTACTTGTCAGGAGGTTGCAAAAGGGGATCATATGGCCCCATCCTAAGTACATGCCAGTTGCCAAGCATAATTTCAGCCATTAACCTTCACCCTATAAATCAAGGTTTGTAAATCCAGCCACATCTTTTCTTCTGACTTTTCAGAACCTTATTCCTGGAAGCAAGCAAAATAATCTTGATTTTTACCGTGCTATAAAAATCCTGGCTGCTTCTGCTGGAACATCTGGAACGTCGGTTTCCTCTTCAGAGGACTTGGATTGAGCGATATCGCCAGTATCGATGTTAATGAGAATTAAGTCATCGGCTTCCTTGGTTGTTACAAAAAAAAAAATGGGAAGGTTGATAGTTAAAAATAGAAGTTAACAATCCACTATGGCAGATGTCACCCTTGGCAGACTAAGAACAGAAACAATTTTAATTTTAGCTTGTAAGTGGAGATTCTCTATCGTCCAGGTCACCCAAAGGTGCTTTTCCAAAGGGCAACTGGACTTTCTTGTTTGTTTGTTTTTTACTTTGAAAATGTTTCGCTTCTCATCCAAGAACTGAAGTCAGAACTGAAGAAGCTTTTTGAATGAGAAGCAAAACATTTTCAAAGAAAAAAGAAAGTCCAGTTGCCTTTTGGCTAATTTTAGCTCCCCTCCCACCCTCCATTCACCTGTGTCCTATTCTCAGAGGCCGCCAAGAAAATTCCCTGCAGTTTTCTTGGCAAGGTTCTTCAGAAGCGGTTTGCCATTGTCTCCTTCCTGGGGCTGAGAGAAAGTGGCTGGCCTAAGGTCACTCAGCTGGCTTTCTGCCTAAGGCTCCTAGTTTCTAATGTGATGCATTCACCACCCCACTCTCTAATTGTTGCTTAAATGCATATTATTATCATAAATATGTTAATCTGGAAACCCATCGGCCAAAGTGAAGTAAAATAATGAGCTCTATGGGCACATTTGCTAGGAGTTCTGAATTTCAATCTCTGTTCTGACCTAGGCTTCCTGAAATAGTAAAAAGCACACAATTAGTCCCAAAAACCCTTTTATTTTTATTTTAACGGCTGTGAATTACTTTCATTCACAGCACGTGCTGAATCACCAAGAGTTTATAAATAGTCCAACAGTCCTTCAGATAAGACTGGTAAACACCCACCTTTATCTTCTTTGACACGCTGCCAAAGACCTAATTGGCAATTATCTTGGCAAGGCCACATGGAAACACAGAGTCAAATATGGAGCTTCAAAGTACAAACCGACACCATCAACAACGTTGCTTCCTGCAAAGACCCATGTGCCTTTGCTCTTTCTTTATGTTTTATGGGAGAGGCCAATCATCTCCAAGCCTTACTCCTGAGTCGCCCCTTTTGTCTTAACTATTCTTGCCTTCTGGCAGCTCTGCACATGCGTGCACTGGGAACAGGCTCCCCCTGTTCCTCTGCCTCTCTGACGTCCGACTCTGGAGGCTCCGGAGTCAGCACATAACTCATAGATGGCCCTGGCCCCCTCTCTGCCTCTGACGCAGAGCTCTCGTCCGAGCTTTCCCCAGACTCCAGGACTGGCCCAGCCTCCTCACAACTCCACAGGCTGCCGGCAGACCACAACAATCTCATCAGTCATAGATTCAGAAAGTTTTCGTCTTTATATCCTCCCATCTCAGCAAACGACGCAGGGCAGCTCACAATTGAGAAACATACTTTGCAGTAAAAAAACTTTAAAACAATAAAAGCCATTAAAACTCTAAACAACACTAAAGCCTCTAACTTGAGCACACATAAGCAACACATCTGGCCTGTTAAGAATGTGGGGGTTGCAAAAGTTGAATGGAGTTAGCAGAGATGGATTGCTCTGATTATACAGATCAGCGAACCTAACCCACGCCCAGGCTCCAAGCTGTCTGGGTCACCAAACAGTCCCCATTGGCTGACCTGTTACCATGTCTATTCCAATTCATGAACTCTTATACATTGACAATTATAGTTTGATAAACTAATACTTTTTTTTGGAAACAAACTATAGAGTGAGGTGGGAGGTCCCTTGAGCATCTTTAAAGCTTTATGGGGGTTGGGGTTGGGGCCATTCTAATCCCCAGAGAGCAGGGGCTTTTGTGGGGGGGGGACCCTCATCTCCTAGCCGTCAGCTGACATTCTTTGGCTGATGGGTTCTGCGTTTGATCAGAGAATCAAATGCCCATCCTTTTTGATCTAATTGGATGGGTAGAAACTCTTGGAAGAAGGCAATCCCTCAGGTACCCTGGTCCCAAGACATGTATGGCTTTATAGGTAACTATCAGCACCTTGTTCTGACCCAGCTCCCCAAACACAACCAACCCTCTGAAGTTAACTCAAAGATTCCTTTATTAGGAGTGCTGGCAGCCCCTGCAAAAAGTTTCTCTCTCAACGCTGGTTAACAAGTCTGTCCGGCAGGGAGATGAATCTGCCACATCTATTCATCTCCGCCCCCTGCCTTTTATCCCCAGAGCTAGGGTGGAGCTTCACTAGCAGAGGTGGCTCTTCCTTCCTAAGGATCAGCCCATGGATTTCCACTGCTCTCCTCTCCTCTGCTTTCTGCACATCCGTGCGTCAGGCACTGGACCCAGCTGTTCTTCCTCTTCCTCATCAGCTACCTCCAGACCTGGGGGCTGTTGACTCTCCATCTGAGGGCTGATGGAGGGCCCAGGCTCCGCCTCTGTCTCTCTCTCTCTGCCAGTTCCATTCCCTCTTCCCCCTCGTAGCTCTCAGGTTGCCTTGATGCTGACCCTGACTCCCACGCCTCCTCCTCCTCTGATTCGGCTGCTGGAGGGGCAGGCGGCCCAGAGGCCACAACATACCTTGAATTGCCCCTGGAAACACACTGGTAAACAAGGCAGCTCGTGCAGGTGTGATATTACATGGCATGGCTACATTCTGCCAGCAGTTGAAGTTTCCAAACAGTCTTCAAGGGCAGCCCATGCAGAGCATATGTTTGTAGTAGTCTAATTTGGAGGTTACAAGGGCATTAGCACAAAGTTGCATAGGCCCAAAGTGGTGCAGAGAAGGCGGGTGGCAGGGGGGCTGTCTCCTTGGGACTTGAGAGCCAAGGGGCAGCAGATCTGGTCTGCCCGCTCAGCCAGAGTAAATCTACTGACTTAATTTAGGGATATTGAATCACCAACATATTTGTGTTTTTTAGTAAAATCAAATCAAATCAAAATAAAAAACAGGACACCACTTCTTTTCCCCTAAGACATTATTTTTTAAAAAAATTCTTCTGTCAAGATCCTGTAACACGTACGCCGCAGGGGATTGGATAGCACATTTTAAAAATCTAAATGCATCCCGTATTTGACAAGCTGATAAAATGTGGTTAAGAGATTTCCTGAATATGTAGCAATAGCAAATAATATTTTTATCAACCGGATAAACAAATGCAAGTTGGTTGCAGCTTTCTCTGAAGCTTGTACAAAGATATCAGTGATGTTTGAGAGCCTTAGACACGAAAGCTAGCTGGGTGACTTTGGGCCAATCACCAGGTGATGGTGAGTTCTAGTCCTGCCTTAGGCATGAAAGCTGGCTGGGTGACTTTGGGCCAATCACCAGGAAATGGTGAGTTCTAGTCCTGCCTTAGGCATGAAAGCTGGCTGGGTGACTTTGGGCCAATCACCAGGTGATGGTGAGTTCTAGTCCTGCCTTAGGCATGAAAACTGGCTGGGTGACTTTGGGCCAATCACCAGGTGATGGTGAGTTCTAGTCTTGCCTTAGGCATGAAAGCTGGCTGGCTGACTTTGGGCCAATCACCAGGAAATGGTGAGTTCTAGTCCTGCCTTAGGCGGGAAAAACAGGTGGGTGCCCATGAGCTAAACACCAGATGGTGATGAGTTCTAGTATTGCCTGAGGCATGAAAGCCAAGTTGGTGACTTTGGGCCAATCACCAGGTGATGGTGAGATCTAGCCCCACCTTAGACATGAAAGCCAGCTGGGTGACACTGGATCAATTCCTCCTTCTCAGCTCAAACCAATAACCACAAGGTTGCTGATATAGGGAATGCAGAAGAAAGGAGGAGATTAGGTAAGCTCGCTGCCTTGACACACATATAAAATAATAAAGATGGGATTAAAAAAAACACTCATAAATAAATAAATTGTGGATCTAGAAATAATTCCCAACCAACCTTGCAAACTTCCTCAAAGTGGTCGATGTGACAGCCCATCAGGAAGGAGGTGGGGGCCATGACAAAATCCAGCATCTGACGGGATAGGATTGGTACAAACGTGTGTTGCCACTGAATAGGATGGATATACAACATGAAGCATTCGGATATGAGGGTCAGCAGTGCCCAGTCAGAGCAAAAGAAGACAATTTTTCGTTCCGTTAAAATACAAGTAAGTATCTGGAAAGAAAGGAAAACCAACAGATCACCATAACTTTTATACATATATATAAAACTGCATTGTTCTCTTGGTAATTTTTAAACGTTTTGGTATTTCAAATGTATTTTTTTAAATTATTATTCATTAACATTTTGAATACAGTGTATTGCCAGAGTATATCATTTACAAAAGAAAAACAAAGAGAGAACAAAAAGAAATATCAACACGTATACCGGTTATACCGGTATACAATAATAAAGTAACAGAATAGTTTTGGCTAAATTTCTCTTTATATTAGCTTATTTATAATTCTGTTAATTATCTGCATATTTATAATTATAAACCATTTTTATATTTAATTCATGCATAGCAATAATCTTTCTTCATCTAATTTCTACCTCTTATCTCTAACCACTCATAAAAACTATTCCATATCAAGTAATATTCTGTGTCTTCTTTGTCTTTTATTTTTAAAGTCAATCTGTCCATCTCTGCACAGTCTAGTATTTTCCTAATTACATCCTCATCTGATGGGAGTGTCCTCATTTTTCCAACATTGTGTAAATATGATCCTTGCTGCTGTCAGTATATGCAAAACTAAATATATAGTCCCTTTATCATAACCCTCCGGCATTATACCCAATAAAAATATTTCTGGTTTCAGATCTATATGTTGCTCAATCATCTTTTCCAACCAAGTATGTATTTTCTTCCAATATTTTCTTGCTTTCATACAAGTCCACCACGTATGATAATAAGTACCTGGGGTCTGATTACATCAAATGTATTATATCATTAACCAATCAATTGATCAATCAGAATAGAGCTGGAAGGGACCTTGGAGATCTTCTAGTCCAATCCCTTGCTCAAGCAAATGCTATATCCTATAGCATTTCAGTCAAGTGATTGTCCAATCTCTTCTTAAAAACTTCCAGTGATGGAGCACCCACAATTTCTGGAGGCAACTTCCATTCCACTGGTTAATTGTCCTCACTGTCAGGAAATTTCTCCTCAGTTCTAGGTGGCACCTACCCTATGGAACAATCTACCCCCAGAGATACGAGTGATCTCCGACCTTCGGATTTTTCGTCGGGCCCTAAAAACTTATTTTTTCCAGTTAGCCGGTCTGTCTTGATTTTAGGGTTAGTTTTAAAATTTTAATATTGATTTTAAATTGACAAGTTTTAAATTATGGGCCAAATTTATAAATTATTTTAACTTTATTTTTTAACTGTGATGTTTTGTATAGATGTTTTTATCTTGGCTGTTCACCGCCCTGAGTCCGAAAGGAGAAGGGCGGTATAGAAATTTGAATAAAGTAAAGTAAAGTAAAGTACTTCTGGTGCTTTGGGAAATAAGTTGACCCCCTCCTTTATGTGGCAGCCCCTCAAATACTGGAATATTACTATCATGTTGCCCCCATTTTCTGTAGACTAGGTATATGCCCAAATCCTTCAGCTGTTCTTCATATAATTTTGTCTCCAGGCCTTTAACCATCTTAGTTGCTCTTTTCTGCACTTTTTCCAAAGTCTCAACATCTTTTTTGTAATGTGGTGACCAAAACTGGATGCAGCATTCCAGGTGTGGCCTTACGAAGGCTTCTATGCTTCTGTTCATACAACCAAGAATTGTATTAGCTTTTTTGGCTGCCGCCGCACACTACCATTAATCCTTCACCATTAATATCTTCACGATAACTGAACTGGCACCTGGAAACTCAAACTTGCTTTCTGATAAACAGAACAGGCACATTTTAATAGGCAGAAAGCAATTTCCTGCACAGCATTTTTAAAAAGATACAGATAGTACTCAATTTACAACTGTAATGGAGCCTGTCCATTATGGTTGTAATTTGTGACAGTTGTAAAACAGGTCACCCAGATGAAAAATCGGATTTCACAACCTTCGTTACGGTGGTCATCCAGCAAACCCATTGTCCGCAATGGGCCATTCAATGGGATTTGAAGTTCACATGCCTTAAAACTTCTGAAGTTGAAAAACACCGGGATAAGGGAACTCCGTGCCAATTTGGCAGAAGATTGATGAAGAAAATGTCAATCAGTTTAAAAACGACCCTTTACCTGTAAAATCTGTTCCGGCTTGAAGCAAAGGAAGGGAAGATGTAGATCCAAATCAATAAGAGGGCTGTCGGGATCTTCCTGAGATGGAAATACGACTTGGAGAGGCTTCACATTAAATAGCTAGAAGAGGAACAGATGGGGGTCTTCAGCTTTGGTGGGTTTCATCGCCACAAACAGCAGAAAGAGATTACAATTCGTTTTCTAAAGAGAATCGGAGTGGAAGAGGCAATGTGGTCTGAACCAGGAATCCCCAACCTCGGGGCCACCACTGGACCACGGCTAATTCGCAGCCGGGCTGTGCGAGTGATGGGCTGGGAACGCACGCGTGCACACACAACTTCCTCACTTGCGTGGCCCTGTTTCTTTCCAACAGACTCCTTCAAAGTCTTTGTAACGTATCAATGAATTCCGCCACATTGTATATAGCAGGGGTGTCAAACTCAATTTCATTGAGCCAGGGTTGTGTTAGACCTCGGCAGGGTGGGGGCGGCCGGGGGCATGGCCAGCTCGATGTCACTCATCGAGGCTCCGTTTTAGGCTGTGACAGCCTCTTGCAGCCCTCTGTCAGCGAAAACGAAGCACATGGGGGGCCTCCCGGGCTCCGTTTTTGGCCGCGACGGCCTCCTACAACCCTCTGCCACCAAAAACCAAGCTCGGGGAGGCTGCGTGTGGCATCCCCCAGCCTCCATTTTTTGTTGCAATGGCCTCCTGCATCCCTTTGCCAACGAAAACGAAGCTCAGGGAGGCTGCAAGTAGCCCGCTTGGCTGTTTTCGCTGGCAGAGGCACCGTGGGCTGGTCCTTTGTTGTTTCCAGGGCCGGTCCACGGGCCAGATCTGAGCACCCTACGGGCCGAATCCAGCTAGCGGGCCTTGAGTTTCACACCCATGGTATAGAGAGTTTATTTCCGATAGTATATCTAAGAATCCCATGTATACTTACACCTGATTCCGTTTTCTCTTTTGGCGTGAGCAACACTACGCAGAGTGCAGAAAAGGTGTAAGGGGGAATAGGTTGAAGAAAGCAGAAACGTGAGATCCGGAAAAGGAAACAAGAGCTCAAATCCCTCTTGCCAAAAGTGGGTCGGACAGAAGAGGATCAACAAGGAAATCCTAGAAAGGCAGAAAGAGCAAAGGAGAAAGAGAAAGTTTAGCGACAGAGAAATCAAGGCAGTGATCAAATCTATGTTGATTGTGAATGCCCCGATATGCATCAAGAAAAGAATACTGTTTTGCAGTGGGAAAACGATGGAAGGGTGTGCGAGAATGACTTTTGAGGGAAGAGGGGAAGAGATGCTATCTAGGGAACAATCAGATAAAAGGATAGGTAGCCTTCAGCTGCTTAACAGCCAGAGATAGGAAGCTAAAAAAGACCCACCCTAAGAGATCAGGCAGATAAAAGCTTCTGTGGGAGATCTGTACTTTCAGATTTACGAGATTCTGTTAATGTAACCCTACAATTAAGTAAATTTAGCTCATCTCATCCGTGTTTCCTGTTGGGCTTATACAAATGTCGAGAAGGAAATCCACACCGTTCTCTTCTCAAACGCTACTGCTTCTAAAAAGCTCTCCACAATCCTTGTTTGCGCTAAAGCACAGGAAATCATAAAATATAGTATATTTTTAAGTATTTACCAGATGAAGCTGCCCAGGAGGAGAACTGGGTATCAGGGATAACTTTGCTGCAAATTCTTTTATGTGTTCCTCGATTTCTGAATCTTTGTAAGGCTTCAGCCGTAGCAATAAGCTGCAATTAAAAAAAAAAAAAGAAGAAGATAACAGCAAGGAGTAGGAAGTTGTTTGAGAAGAATTCTAGTGCCTTTCAAACATTTGTTTCTTTGGCAAAAAATGTACCATTTTATTTTTCTTTAATTTAATGCAATTCTGATCTTTTCCTACCCAAATACGGATCTTAAGTTTTAAAGCAATTAATCTTGCAGAACAATTCATGCAAATTTAATCTAGTTTTGCAGCTCCGCTCCTGCCAGCTTATTATTACTATATGAAATTAAAGTCTAGCCAGTAGGACATAAAATTCAGCACCTCGCTTTAAAAATTTAGAAGCTGCGAATTTACAATAGGAGGCCTCTGTTCTCATCTGTTCTCAAAATCTCTACGAAATTACTTCAAAGTGGAGTCAGGGTTCTAAGTAATACGTCATAGCAAGCAGAACTCCGTGGCAAGAACAGGTTTATTGGATGTATCATATTGGCACAGACTGGTGAAAACCGACTCTAAAGGTTCCTGCAGTTTTCGCTGAATTAAAAGTAAAAGTTATTCCCCCTTTCCCAAACAATCAGCCACATGGTCCAATCAAGCTGCTGTCCAGTTGTTTGGAAACTTCACTCCTCCTCTCTTCAGCCACCTGTCCTTGGTTCTTAGGGGAAGTTATTTTGTTTTGGCTAACCCCCCCCCCGCTCTCTCTTTTTCCCCCTCCCTATCCCTCAGCACCCTTGTGGCAACTCTGAAGCCTCCAAGATGGCCTCAGTCAGGCCATTTTCAGAGCTGACAGGTGGTACTAACCATGAAAGTGAATTGTAAGAGTTGTTAAGTGAATCATTCACAGTTGGTGTGTTAGTAACACGGTTGTTAAGTGAATCTGGCTTCCCCCATTGACTTTTTCCTTTGTCAGGAGGGGATCACAAAAAGGGGATCACAAGACCTTGGGGCACAGCAACGGCCATAAGTGTGAGTCAGTGGCCAAGCATCTGAATTTCGATCACAGGTCTGCTACAAAGGTCATAAAGTGGAAAAAAATGCTCACTTTTTTCAGTGCAGTTGAAACTCACTAAATCTCAGGGGTCTCAGCCAGCCGGTTGAAGTCTGCCAGGCTTAAAGTGCCCAAGGTTGGAGACCCCTGCACTAAATGAACTGTTGTAAGTCGAGGACTACCTATAAATGTGTTCTGCCCCAGCTCCGGATTCCCAAGGATTGTGAAACACACCAACGGTCCTTATCAAAGTTATAACGTACCAAGAATAAACAAAGTCCGGCAAAGGTTGGCAACCAGCCCAGAAAACAAGATACGATAAGACACTCACTCTAAAAAATGCTCTGTAATAATTACACGTTGTTTCCAGCAAGAAACTTACTAACGGCATGTGACTTAAATAGGCTAAGGGAGTGGCCAATTATCCTCAAACCTTACTCTCGAGGAGACCTCCTCCTCCTGAGTAGCCACTCCTGCCTTTTGGCAGTCCTGCGTGCTCGAGCATTGAAGAGAGGCTCCTCCACTTCGCTCTCTCCACTTGAAGGAGCCTCTGGAGGTTTTGAAGGCCCTGGCTGAGTCTCTGCCTCTGGCACCACATCCTCTTCAGTCTCCTCGCTGTCCGACATGAGCGCCGGCTGCGCAGGCTGCTGGCGCGACCCCACACCAGCCTCCTCATCGTCAGGATCAGCCACGATCCGCACAGGCCGCTGGCAGGCCACAACAAAATGCTAACAAAATTATGACTCTATCCCAGGAGCTCTATTTGTCCTCACAAAGAAAAAAAGCCAGCCAAATATTTATCCTTACCAAGACAAACAGTCCTTCAAGGCGTTGAAATATGGGTACCTGGATATGACACAAACGGCAAATGGTACGAAGTACGAATCAGCTCTGGAGCTTTGAAGTTTATCCCAATGTGCCTGCCCATTGTAAAGGCGTCCCTCCTAAAGAAAAAAAAAACACAACTGCTTGTGATTTGGTTGTCTTTCGAGGACAGGGAAGTTATTCACATACTCACAAAGACCCACAACTACAGTGTCATAGAAGCAGGTCATTCAACGGGCCTTCAACACTGGATGTTGCTCCTGACTGATGCTCGCTTGGCTCCCTCCCCACCTCTCTTTCACCGAGGCATTTCCAGATCCGGCACTGGAATGACTTCATTAAGGTCAAAATAAATTTAAAAAAACATACTTGCATAGGCTGGTGATACTGGGCCACAACTCCGTAAGTTCGGTTTCCGAAAACATCTGTGAAAACGAGAAAATGAAAGTGGTCCTCTCTGGATTCAGACGTGACATAAAATCCTCCTGTAAAAAAAAAAAAAAACACACACAAAATAAAAGCATTGCAGAAAAAGAGCACAGATCTCACAGACTATGGCCTCTGTAAAAGGAATGAAATTCATTCCTTTGAATATTTTATTTATTTATTTTATTTTATTTGTCATATTTCTATGCCGCCCACTCTCCGAGGACTCTGGGCGGCTTACACCAATAAACAGTATACTAAATAGCATATTGCTCCCAACAATCTGGGTCCTCATTTTACCCACCTCGGAAGGATGGAAGGCTGGGTCAACCTTGAGCCCGGTGAGATTTGAACTTGCAGTAATTGCAGGCAGCTGGTGTTACTTAACAGTGCTTTAGTCTGCTGTGCCACCAAGGCTCTTGTAAATTAGTTTCCACCCATTGCTTCCTGTCCTACCCTCAGGTGCTTTGGAGAATAGCTTGACTCCCTCTTCTTTGGGGCAGCCCCTGAGATGTTGGAACACTACTATCGTGTCTCCCCTAGTCCTTCCTTTCATTAAACTAGACATACCCAATTCCAGCAACCATTCATCATGTTTTAGCCTCCAGTCCCCTAATCATCCTGGTTGCTCTTCTCTGCACTCTTTCTAGACTCTCAACATCTTTTTTACATCGTGGCAACTAAAACTGGATGCAATATTCCAAGTGTGGCCTTACCAAGGCATTATAAAGTGGTGTTAACACTTCACATGATCTTGATTCTTCCCTGACCTTGATATAAATAGCTAAAACACAAAGTCACACAAAATATTTAGTCACCCACTCGGACCTCTGCATCAAAGTGATATATATATATATATATATATATATATATATATATCTTAATAAATAAGAGAAATAAACCTGGAAAGCAAAGCTGGGGCAGTCCATTCAGGTCGACATCTTTGGGAACAGCGATGTCTTCATCCTCAGGTGCTCTGGGTGCTCCGTTCACAGCCTTTGCATCTTCCGTCTTAAATTTCTCTTTCCTTTTTCGGAAAGAACGGCGTTTGGTTTTATTGAAAGCGTTGCTATTTAGCGGAAGAGCTTGCAAATCTTCCTTGCTGATAAAGGGAGGTACAAAAACGGAAAGAACTTCCGGTTCGAGTGGGATGGTTCTCACGTCTTTTTGTTGTGCAAGCTAAAAAAAAAAACCAGAATTAAGATAATTGGGATGGATTTTGTGATGGGCAATATGTTAAATCACTTTTTAATATTGAGCTACTTATCCTTATTCCTGTGAAAGGGGGGACCGGCAAACCTTCCATGTACTTTTTTTATAGCTCTCAGAAACCTGAATATCATCTATGTACAACTAAAATTCTCACGTATGATTGTTTGTTTGTAACTTTGGAGTGGTGCGGTAGCCTGGAGGTAGAGCTCTCGCCTCACAATTAGGAGGCTGAGAGTTTGATCCTAGGTAGAGGCAGATATTTCTCTCTCTGGGCACACTGGGAATATATCTGCTGAACAAAACTCCTCATTGGCAACAGGAAGGGCATCCGGCTATTAAAAAACTCTGCTAGCTCCATTCAGTTGCCCAGACTCCATCCCACGAGGGATTATGGGGTTGTTAAATGAAGATGATGATTGTTTCTGACTTTCAATTGGGTGAAACGGTGCATCGCAGGTAACAAATTTTAAATCAACAGTCCTCAAATATACTAACTTGAGGAATGTGTCCAAAATAGCAACAGAACTTAGACTTATATACCATTTCACAGTGTTTTAAAACCCTCTCTAAGTGGTTTTACAGAGTCAGCATATTTTCCCCAGCAATCTGGATCCTCATTTTACCCACCTTGGAAGGATGAAAGGCTGAGTCAACCTTGAGCCTGCTGAGATTCGATCTGCCAAATTGCTGGCAGCCAGGGATCAGCAGAAGTAGGCTGCAGTTCTGCATTCTAACCACTGCACCACCGCGGCTCTGGACCCTGGATCCATGACTCCCATGGGATTGAAATTTGGCAAAGTTGTGGCCACTTCAGTGCTGTTTTGTTTTTGTTTTTGTTTTTGTTTTTGTTTTTTTAATTTGATTTATATGCCGCCCTTCTCCGGAGACTCAGGGCGGCTTACAGTGCATTCAGCAATAGCCTTCATTCTTTTGTATATTTATACAAAGTCAGCTTATTGCCCCCACAAACTGGGTCCTCATTTAACCTACCTTAGAAAGGATGGAAGGCTGAGTCAACCTTGAGCCTTGGAGAGATTCGAACCAGCAGTAAATTGCAGGCAGCTGTGTTAATAACAGGGTGCTTTAAACCACTGTAGTACCAAGGTTTTGCTGCCACAGTCAGCTATTATCACCTGATCATCATTTCTAATATTACCACGAGGAATATTAGCTTCCCACAAGGACAGTCAATGGGGAAGCCAGCAGGAAGTCAGAAATCCTAGGCCAGCAGGTAGGTAAATTTATTTATTTTATTTTATTTTATATCAAATTTATATACCACCCTTCTCCCTGATGCTCAGGGCGGTGTACAGCCAAAGTAAAAACATAAACTACAAACATTAAAATACAATTAAAAAGATATATATATATGGGCTGGCTTGAGCTAAATTTTAAATTGGTTTTAAATTGGGTTGTTTTAATTTACGGCCAGAATATCTAATTATTTTAATACTGTTTTTTAAATTTTGTATGTTTTGTTTTTACTTAGGCTGTGCACCGCCCTGAGTCCTATTTGGAGAAGGGCGGTATAGAAATTTAAACAAATAAATAAATAAATTTGGCCCCATGATTAAAAGCAATGACAAAACAATTAAAAACATTTTTTAAAAAGTGTTAGGCCAGCCTGGCTTGTTGAAAAAAGAAAGTTTTAAGGGCACGGCGGAAGGCACCGAGGTCTTGGATTCTCCTTGTCTCTGGGGGCAGCTGGTTCCAGAGGGTAGGTGCCCCCACAGAGAAGGCCCTCCCCTTCTGCTGCTTCTGGGTTAGGGAAGGGCTGAGAGGGGATGCACAGGGCAAGGAGACCTACATGGGTCGGGGAAGAGTACAAGGGGATGTGCAAGTGGTGTCTGAAATGATGGCCTAATGGGTCATGGGTTCTCTAATGATGGCTAAATACTGAAAATACCTGTAGATTGGAAACCAATAAAAGCTATGGTATAGCCTCGTGATGGCGAACCTATGGCACGGGTGCCACAGGTGGCATGCAGAGCCATATTGGTGGGCACACAAGTATTGCCCTAGCTCAGCTCCAGCGCACATGCGCTCACTGGCCAACTGATTTTCAGGCCTTCCGGTCCCACCGGAAGTCGGGAAACTGACTGTTTCCGGCCTCCGGAAGGCCTCCAGGGGGATGGGGAAGGCTGTTTTTGCCCTCCCCAGGCTCCTAGAAAGCCTCTGGAGCCTGGGGAGGGGGGAAAACAGACCTACTGGGCCCACTGTGCCATCGCGTGCCAAAAGCAGGGGGAAGTGTGGGGGGGGGTCACAAGCACATACGCAGGAGGGTGGGGCACATTGAATTATGGATGTGGGCACATGCACCCATGACCCCCCACGCGACCCCTGCTTTTGGCACGCGACGGCAAAAAGGTTAGCCATCCCTGGTATAGCCCCTAAAACAGGAATATGACAATTATAAAACAATTTATAGTCCTGTCTATATTATTTAAAACCCTAAACCTATTATAATTTCATTTACTATTAGATTTATAGTTCACTTTTATTCTACAACTCAAGGTGGTGTGTGTAATGTATGTATGTAACAAAGAAGAGGGGTCAACTTATTTTCCAAAACACCAGAGAGCAGGACAAGAAACGATGGTGGAAACTAATCAAGGAGAGAAGCAATCTGGAGTTAAGGAGAAACTTCTTTTTTTAAAATAAATTTTATTAATTTTCCATTTATTACATTTCTTAGTGCTTAATAAACATCGTGCTGTCTGGGTATTTAAATTGTTTAGCAATACAGATTCCATTCTTACTCCCCACCCCTTTTTCCCAACCAACGTTGGATAACATCCTGTGTCTTTTTTCTGTTTGAATTTCAGTGTAAGTCTATCCATTTCTGCACAATCTAATATCTTCTTAATTATCTCTTCGTCTTGCGGTAAGGAGAAACTTCTCAACAGTGAGGACAATTAACAAGTAGAACGGCTTATCTTCAGAAGTTGTGGGTGCTTCATCACTGGAGTTTTTTTAAGAAGAGACTGGACAGACACTTGTCTGGAAATGGTATAGGGCAGAGGTGTCAAACTCGATTTCATTTGAGGGCCGCATCAGGGTTGTGTTTGGGGCCGGGGTGGCCGTGGCTAGGATGGGCGTGGTGAGCTCAACATCACTCCTGTCGTGGGTGCCTGAGCGCTCTGCCAGCGAAAACGGGCTCCCGAGCTCAGTTTTCGGCTGCCAAGGCCTCCTGCAACCCTCTGCCAGTGAAAACGGAGCTCGGGAGTGCCCTCCTGAGCTCTGTTTTTACTGGCAGAGGGTTGTAAATGAAGCTCAGGAGCTCATTTTCGCTGGCAGAAGCACAGCGGGCTGGTCCGTCACTGTTTCTAGGGCAGCCCCATGGGTCAGATCCAAGTACCCCATGGGCCGGATCCAGCCTCCAAGTTGGACACCCCTGGTATAGGAACTCCTGTTTGAGCAGGGGGTTGGACTAGAAGACCTCCAAAGTCCCTTCCAGCTCTGCTCTATTCTATTCTAATAGTTTGACTCCTTCTTCTTTGTGGCAACCGCTGAGATACAGCAGTGTTCCAATATCTCAGGGGTTGCCACAAAGAAGAGGGAGTCAAGCTATTCTCCAAAGCACCTGAGGGTAGAACAAGAATGAGCCGAGGTGGCGCAGTGGTTAGAGTGCAGTACTGCAGCTACTTCAGATGACTTGCTAGTTCAGCAGATCAGCGGATCAAATCTCACCAGGCTCAAGGTTGACTCAGCCTTCCATCCTTCCGAGGTGGGTAAAATGAGGACCCAGATTGTTAGGGGGCAATATGCTATTTAGTATACTGTCTTTGGTGTAAGCCGCCCAGAGTCCTTGGAGAGTGAGCGGCATAGAAATATGACTAATAAAATAAATAAATAAATAATAAAGAAGCAATGGCTGGAAACTAATCAAGGAGAGAAGCAACTTAGAACTGAGGAGAAATTTCCTGACAGTTAGAACAATTAATAAATGGAACAACTTGCCTGCAGAAGTTGTAAATGCTCCAACACTGGAAATTTTTAAGAAGATGTTGGATAACCATTTGTCTGAAGTGGTGTAGGATTTCCTGCCTCGGCAGGGGGTTGGACTAGAAGACCTCCAAGGTCCCTTCCAACTCTGTTATTCTATTCTGTTCTGTTCTGTTCTGTTCTGTTCTGTTCTGTTCTGTTCTGTTCTGTTCTTATTCTATTCTCCTGTCTCCCATTTTCCCCACCACATACCCCCAGCTCTGTGAGGTAGTTGGGCTGAAAGCAAACGGCTGGCCCAGATTAGGTTTTCATCCATAAGGGAGGACTAGAATTCACAGCCTCTTGTTTTGAAGTTCAGCATCTTCACCACTAGCTCTGTGATTCTGGTGACTTTTTTAGTCCTCCAAAATTGTAAGTATGGTCCATACGGTACATACAAAGACTTTGCCCATCAAGTTGTAATGTAAAACATCACCAAAATGCATAAAGCAAAGGGTTAACAATCAGTGCAATCTTTTATTTCCAAGATTGCTACAGAATTCAAGAACCAGGCAGAGAAAACATAAACAATAGCAAATCAATGATGTCACCACACATCTCATTGTTCATTTGCATGCAAAAAAATGCACCACACCTACAAACTGTTCTCACTTTAGATTGAAACTGGTTTGGTTTATTTAATCTTAGGAAAAAATGCTTCATACTCAGTGTTTCTTTTTTTTTAGAAATTTCTACAATTTTCAATAAGAATTTTTTTTAAATCCTGCTCTAATGTTTTTCTAGGAAGGTTTTGTTTGTTTGTTTACTTGTTTGTTTATAACAAATCAGCAACATCTTGCGGCACCTGTATTTTCTTTTGGAATTTCATTGTGAAGCTGCTGTTTACCCTTCAGTTGAGCAGTTATGTATGTGGACATTTTAATATCAAAAGTTTTTAAATGTTAATACAGTTCAGCCTTTTTTTTTTGTAAAGAATGCTTGATTTTGTTTCTCTCTTATGAGATTGTCTTATTTCCCAAGGA